AAGTGGAATCTGCGTAGACGTGCTCAAACTGTAAAACACTGTGAATGAAAAGGAACCAAAAAGAAAAAAATATGAACAACGGAAGAAACGGCATCAAAAATCGAGTCCCGTGTAGAAGATATGCCCCAAATAAGTTCGGCGCTAACCGGGGCCGAAAACCCTGAAACTAGAGAAAACGACCGGAAGGAAATTCTAAGAGAACCTGACTCGACGAAATGTAAAAATAAATCTCGTACAAGGATTAAGACTCAAAATGAGGCATTTTGCAATAACTTCCGTTAATTGCACAATGTCCAATCTAAGAAAGGATAACTGCAAAAATGACACAGAAAGAAAATATCTTCTAAAAATATTTTCTTAAAAATCAATGAAATAAAATATCTTTAAAAGATATTTATGAAATATACCTCAAGAAAATAAAATGTTTCCGAAGAAACTATGCATCCATGCCTCTATGGACACGGGGAGCAATCAGAGTACTTTTCTACAAAAGTAAAGATACGTATTCGTGGAAACCACTTAGAATGAAGGTACCTGAAGTTAGAAATCAACTCCGAGCACGAAAAATGAGGTTGTGCCAAAAAGTAACAAATGGGGAAAAAGACGAAAAATGAATAGTGTTCAAAAAGTGAAAATGTGAAAATGACTCAGTCCTTAAAGGAAATTGTCAATCTAAAGGAAAGAGTCTCGAAAACCATTTCCAAGTACTTGAGACAACACCAAGAGACGAGAAACCGAACTCAGAAAAGAAAAAATAACAGAAAAAATTTATCCGTAAAATTTGAGAAAAGAAAAGGGAAGAAAATGATAGGGTCATTACATGCATACAATATACTCTATGTTGTTTATTAATATGTAGTAAGATGTATACAATAGGGGTTTATATAGAAGGGTTTATGTGTGATGAACAGCTAAACCCTATATGTATACGGTAACTAAATATATTCTAATACTATACAAGGTAGAATCCTATACATATAGTAATCCTATATAAGGTTAGAATATATTATATAATATAGTAATAATATCTCTAATATATTCTAACAAGCTCAAACTTTACTCAATTGAGCTAGTTTATTTTTGCCAATAAATCATTAAAAACAATTTGCATATATGTATCATTGTTTATGTATATGTAGTTGGTGAAAAAATTGCCATTGAGCTCAACTTAGATGTTGATCTTCCCCTAATGCCCCGCCAAATTGGGATTCCTTTATCCATTGGGTAAAAATTTACGTCAACAAAATTTCCCTAATATCTTCTGTCTATGTGGGCTCCCAGCCTATCATCCTCATTAAAAGTATCATCAACACAATTAGAATTTAGAAATAAGGTACAAGAGTTTTGGTAAAAGAGGAGTTCTTGAAGCAATCACTTACTATCGGTGAACTTCAACAACTCCTCTTCTACCTAAAGAATTGCCGGAGAGTACGTGGTTCTTTCTAAGTGATTGCTTTATACCTCCAAGGATGATTGACCTTGGTTAAGAATCGAGGGAGCTCGAAGCTCTATAACTGGGGTTATATGTCAAGCCGAGCCTTAGGGTGTTTGTGCTTGGCTCATCAACTACAGAATTCGAGGTGCTCGAGCTTGACTTGGGCTCGATTTGACTAGCTAAGATCAAGCTCGTCTTGATAGTGTATACATAGTTTATGTGTGTGTGTGTGTGTGTGTGTGTGTGTGTATTTTATGCCTACTTCGTAGAAGAAATCGCTGATCAGTTACCAATCTTAACAACAAATGTATGACTTTCACAACAAAATGTTAACAATAAACTAGGTTAATTTGTGTTTGTAAATAAGAAAGAAAAGGTAATAGAAAATTAAGGGAGGCAAATGAATACACTTTGCACTCTTGATTCGTTTTTTAACAAATAAACACGAATCGAGCACGAGTTGACAATTCGATTCATTTACATCCCTATTTGTAACAAATGTGAGGAAATGAGCTTACGATATAGAGGTCGATTAGGGCTGGACTATAGTTTTTGGATGAATTAAATGGGGCTTGTTTAAATGTAAATTGTGCTCCTCGGTTTGGTTCCTATGGGCCTGGCTTTTGTAGGCCAAATGGACTTGACTTAGGGTTTTGGGGTCACAGTCCCCACCCACCCCTCTTTTTGTACATCCTTTCCACCTTCACTTATTCGGGAAAAAAAATAAAATCATCCAAAGTTGGTGGTAAAGGCATTGACGAGAGGTTCAGTGGTTCTACTGTAATTATTGAGACTTGGGACGCGTTTTCATTTCCGCGTTGGGGAGAAGTTTCATGCGACGTTCCGAATACCCATTTTCCCACACACCTTCTCTTGAAAGCAAACCCTTTCTAAGTACCCATTTCACACCCTCTCTCTCTCTCTCTCTCTCACACACACACACACACACACACACACACACTTTTCTAGTGCCCATTTCGCCCCACACAGCCTCTCTCTCTCTCTCTCAAGCAAGCCCTCCCAAATTTCTTACACAGCTTCTCTCTCTAGCTCACACACACTCGTATCAACTTCTCTCTCCTTAAGAAAAAAACCCTAAGAAGACCATGGAGGCCATTACAGGAGACTGCTTCAAGTGCAACTCACAAAAGACATCTTCGATTAAGAACAGAAACATCAACACCATGTACTCCTTTGTTACTCCTGTTAGATCTGGTACCATAAAAAACCAGATATTCTTGGGCTTACTCCGAAAGTTGAAGCTTGTCTTTTGCCTTCCTGATCAGTAACAACATTTCAGCTTGTGTTGGTACGTATTCCTAATATTGCCCTATGTTGTATTCATATATATATATATATATATATATATATATATATTATAACGAAGGATCAACCCACCCGCTAGCTAACGTTGTTTATATTATGTATTTGCAGGTAAAGTTTAAGGCTGTGTTGTACGTTGTTGTTGCCGCTTTTTCTTGTTGCAGCTAGTCTGTTGTTGGGGGTAGCCACAATAATGATCCTGTAATATATATGTGTGTATGTATACATTTTATGAGTGTTGCTTTTGTTGAGGTTTGGGTGTCTGAGCACCAAGTACGTTGTGTTACATGTTGTTGTTGTTATCAGTACATATATATGGTGATCCTTGCTAGTGTGATTGTTATTGATTGACCATTGTTTTTTGTTCTAGTAGTAGTATATAACTGCTGTTCTTATAGTGATTATATATTGATGGATTTGTATGGACCAATATGGGTTTGTTGAGAATGAATCAAAACAATTAGTCAGAAACAAGAAGAGAGAGAAATTATTGAGAGTTTTATTGCCGTTCATTTTCCAATCATTTCTTTTCCTTTTCTCAATCAAAAATTTCTTTTTTATTATCATCTAAAGTTGCTAGAACACTTTCTTTCATATATTCATTCAAATTATATTATTCACTCAATGATTCTTGCATCTACAATCTTCATCCATCTTTCTATAAACAAGGAGAGAGAGAAAGAGAGAGCTAGAAAGAGATTTGTGGGGGAGAGAGAGCGCTAGAGAGAGTTGAGTTTTGGGATCATTTCTTTAGCTTTTTTGATCAGCAATTTCTTTCATAGATTCATTCAAATTATATTATTCACTCTATGATTCTTTCATCTACAACCTTCATCCATCCCGAAAACAAGGAGAGAGAGAACGAGATTTGTGGGTGGTGGAGGGGGGAGAGAGAGAGAGTTGTGAGTTTTCGGATCATTTCTTTAGCTTTGAGATAAAGTTGTGAGTTTTCGGATCATTTCTTTAGCTTTTCTGAGCAGCAATTTCTTTCATAGATTCATTCAAATTATATTATTCACTCCATGATTCTTGCATCTACAATCTTCATCAATCTTTCTATAAACAAGTCCAGATCTCAGAGAAACCAAAAACAAGGAGAGAGCTAGAAAGAGATTGGGGGTGGGGAGAGAGAGAGAGCTCTACAGAGAGAAAGTTGTGAGTTTTTGGACCATTTCTTTAGCTTTTCTGATCAGCAATTTCTTTCATAGATTCATTCAAATTATATTATTCACTCTATGTTTCTTGCAACTACAATCTTCATCCATCTTTCTATAAACAAGTCCAGATCTTAGAGAAGCCGAAAACAAGGAGAGAGAGCTAGAAAGAGATTTTGAGTTGTTCTTGTTCATTTCTTGATCATTTCTTTAGTTTTTTATGGGCCAATTTCTTTCCTAATTCCATCTAAATTCGATTATTCAGTCCGTAGTTCTTGCATCCACACCCTTCTTCCATATATCTTTTTATATAAACAAGTCCCAATCTTAGAGAAGCCGAAAACAAGGAGAGAAATCTAGAGAGAGAAAGTTGTGAGACGACTCTTGCTGTTCATTTTTTGATAATTTCTTTAGCTTTTTCAACCTATCAGCAATTTAAATTCGATTATTCAGAACAATTCCCAGCCTTAGAGAAGCTAGAAACAAGGAGGGAGAGAGCTAGAGAGAGAGTTATTTATGTAATTTTTTGAATGTTTTAGTGTGTTCGTGCAGTTCATTTATTTATTTATTTATTTTTCCTATCAATCAGCAATTTCTTTCATAGATTCATATAAATTCTATTGTTCAATCCACAATTCTGCATCTACAACCTTCTTCCATCTCTCTATGAAAAAGTTTCAACCTTAGAGAAGCCGGAAACAAGTGTTGGAAATAGTGGCCTAGTTACACACACAATATTATACTATTTGGAAGAGAATAGAAATGGAGGAAAATACTTTTTATTTCACTTGATCTATTATTTGACTAGAGTACATGAATATATAGGCCTCACATATGTATGTGTAACCATTACATTTAAATGTCCATAACTCTCCTATCTCCCACTAACATAATCTTCAATATGCATAACTCCCACTAACATAGTATTTGTTAGGCTTAACTCTCATGACTCTTTATTTTACATAACCTTAACTCCCACTAAGACAATTTACTACCCACTAACATGCTAAATTAACACATGCATCATGAATACAAAAATACTTGAAAATACTAAATACTAAAATCAAGTTTATTTTCAACACCCCCCTTTAAACTTGATTTTGCAACTTGAAAAACCTTCTTATTTGTTGTGAGTCATGGATTTTTTCTTCATTGTTGGTTGTGTGTTGACCGCTTCTTTCTCCTCTTCCACGGCCTCTTCCTCTTCCTCGGCCACGTGCATTTCCACGTCCTCGGCCCCTTTGATTTCCTCCATGTTTTTCGTCTCTTTCGTTCAACGAAAACTTTGTTTGTAGCACTTGCTCCAATGCTTCTTGTTTCTTCACCACCTTTTCTTCATGAGCTTGCAACGAACCCATGAGTTGATCAACAGTCATGGAATCCAAATCCTTTGACTCTTCAATGGCTACAACAATGTAGTTGAATTTGGAATCCAACGACCGAAGGATCTTTTCAACGACCCTTGTATCAGTCATGGTGGTTTCGCCATATCTCCTTAGTTGATTTACAATAGCCAGGACCCTCGAAAAATAATCTGAAATTGATTCAGATTCCTTCATATGCAATGCTTCAAATTCACCCCGTAACGTTTGGAGGCGAACCTTCTTCACTTTATCAACTCCTTGGAAGGAATTTTGAAGAATCTCCCATAGTTGCTTTGCATTTTCTGCACTAGCAACTCTTTGTAGCATTCCATCATCCAAACATTGATGGATGGTCATCACCGCCTTTTGGTCCTTCTTTCTCATGGCTTGTAAAACATCTTTTTCGGCTTGAGACAAAGTTGCCTCATCTTCTGGCTCATCATAACCTTTGGAAACAACTTCCCACACATCTTGTGCTCCCAAAATTGCCTTCATACGGATACACCAATTTTCATAGTTATCTTTGGTGAATCGAGGCATTTGAAATGGAACCGAATTGTTTGCCATTTCTTCTCTCTCTCACAAACTAGCTCTGATACCACTTTGTTGGAAATAGTGGCCTAGTTACACACACAATATTATACTATTTGGAAGAGAATAGAAATGGAGGAAAATACTTTTTATTTCACTTGATCTATTATTTGACTAGAGTACATGAATATATAGGCCTCACATATGTATGTGTAACCATTACATTTAAATGTCCATAACTCTCCTATCTCCCACTAACATAATCTTCAATATGCATAACTCCCACTAACATAGTATTTGTTAGGCTTAACTCTCATGACTCTTTATTTTACATAACCTTAACTCCCACTAAGACAATTTACTACCCACTAACATGCTAAATTAACACATGCATCATGAATACAAAAATACTTGAAAATACTAAATACTAAAATCAAGTTTATTTTCAACAACAAGGAGGGGGTGGGAGAGAGAGCGCTAGAGAGAGAAAGCTGTGAGGGTGTTCTTTCTGCTCATTTTCCGAACATTTCTTTAGCTTCTTCAATCAGAAATTTCTATCCTAGATTCAATAAATTCAATTATTCAGTCAGCAATTCTTGCATCTTCTCTCCTTGGAGAAACAAGGAGAGAGACAAAGTTGTGAAAGTCTTCTTGCTGTTTATTTTTTGATAATTTCTTTAGCTTTTCCCATCAACAATTTCTTTCTTAGATTCATCTAAATTCAATTCAATTATTCGGTCCATAATTCTTGCATCTTTTTATAAACAAGTCACGATCTTAGAGAAGACAAAAACAAGGAGAAAGAGAGAGCTGTGTGATTGTTTTTTGCTGTTCATTTTCGATCATTTCTTTAGCTTTTTCAGTCATCAATTTCTTTCCTAGATTCATCAAAATTCAATTATTCAGTCCACAATTCTTTCCCTACGAGATTAATTTGAATTCTTTCTAATCTTCCTGATTTTTCTTCTGGGTGAATCAGTCATATATGTGTATGTCTGAAATTCTTCTTGATTTTCTGTTGATTTCTTTGAAGTATCTATGGAGGCTGTATCAAATTCGTCTCGTGGCAATTTGTGAAAAGTGGTGGCCAAAAATTTGATGGGTGCAAATCAGCCTAATGCAATCAATCAAACTTATGGACTCATTAATTTTGATGGATTTGTGTCCAACCTATAGATTATGGGTTTGTTGAGAAGAATCAATTAAAACATACCATTAGCAGCAAACTTGATTGAATTCCTAGCTAGGAAGGCAGTGTTTCTGAGTTCAGTGATTTTCTACAAGTAATGAGAGATATTACTGCAATTTCTTTAGAACAAAGTTATGGGTTTAGGTTTGTATGATTTGTTATCAAAGTTGATATCTTTGGTTTTTGGCATCTAAAAAATAAACGATTCATGATGGGTTTGTGGAATTTCCTCTTTTAATTCGGTGTGAGTTCTAGTTTATCTAGCTAGTGTCAATTTCCAAGGTCGATTTCTTTTGCCAATTCCTTGTTTTCGCACTTGAGGCTTGGGAAGTGGAAGAACATAGCGCCTTCTTCCACTTGATGCCCGGCGTGGTGGCCAATCTCTTCGAAAGCTTTTTGGTATTTTTGGAGATGACTATTTCCCAGAGATCTATCTTTAGGTGATTTTTTGGGATCTCCAATATTGAAGTTTCTTCAACCCTCTCATAAGGAAACTGCGCAAGAATTGTTCTTCTCTTCTCCTGTTACCATCTGAATGGCATGAGTTTGTTCAATCCTCATCAACAGAAGCAGAACTGAACAGGTTGAGCTCTTCACCACCACCACCACCACCAAAATTTAGGTTCTTGAGAGAGATTGCAGAAGATCGAGAAACTGATGAGAAGATTGATGGGATTTTAACAACAGTTTTAGCTGCCACCTTATCATGTTCAATTTGTTGTGGTGTTGGTTAAATACGCATTCAAGTTAAGGGTTTCAAATGAGACTAGCTAGCCCCTTCCAGTGGCATGTTGAGGCACATTTCAATTGAAGTAACATCTTAATTTGACCCCCTTTCCGTCTAATTCATTAATTAAGGGTCTAATTAACCAAGTACTATATATATATATATATATATCATTGCTTTAGTACTTCATATATATAGTGATATATATATTCATGCCCATGGACACATTTAGCAAAACTCTTAATTAGTAGTCTAGCTTAATGGCCTTCAAAAAGGCTATATATATATATATATACACACACACATATATTGATTGAATATTCAGACTTATTTGATGGGTTGGAGTTCAACCAAATCTAGGCTAGCTTGTTGAGATTGAATCAAACCACTAATTCATCATGCATGTATGTACCATCTAATCTTACTCCCACAGGGGGCCCAGCTAGCTTGTTCAACATTTAAATTAAAAGTTCTATTTTTATTGAACATATATATCTATATATATATATATATCCTCTTTGTATAAATTTGAGTTGATTTGTGGGATTAAGTTGACTAAGACTCGAGAGAGAGACAGAAAGCACCATCTTCTTCAGCAATAGCAGGAATCAATCTCCTTTTCTTGTCTTATTCTTCCCGACAAGACCACCATAGAATGGTTAACTCTCTCTCACACACACATATAATTACATTGCTTGTGTGTGTGAAGAAAAATGGGTCCACCAATCACCATCATATATCATGGTGGATTGTTGACTAGGATTTTCTTTCTTAACGTATGTGATTTGAAAGGTTTTGATGGATACAAAGTTGAAAAGATGATTTGAATGTGTTTTTTTTTTTTTTTTTTTTGGAAGGGTATGATTTTACCCTTTTCTTGAGAGAGGGATGTGAAGTTGTGAAATGAACCTCCACCAGAGATGGAGAAGGGAATTATATGCCTTTGCCACGCTGGATTCTTATATATCTAGGCAGGAATGTTTCTAAACCGAATTATATAATACGACTTCATTTAGCCGACTAAACCTGATGTGATATAGAGATGGAGAAAGATAATACTAGTCTTTTTTCTTAAGCGAATTATATGCCTTTGCCACGCTGGATTCTAATATATTCAGGCAGGAATGTTTCTAAACCAAATTATATAATACGACTTCATTTAACCGACTAAACCTGATGTGATATAGAGACGGAGAAGGGTAATACTAGTCTTTTTTCTTAAGCGAATTATATGCCTTTGCCATGCTGGATTCTTATATATTTAGGCAGGAATGTTTCTAAACCAACTTATATAATACGACTTCATTTAGCCGACTAAACCTGATGTGATATATATATATATATATATATATATATATGTGTGTGTGTGTGTGTGTGTGTGTGTGTGCCGACTTCATGAGTTTTTGTACGAGTTATGATTCGGGATCTCTCAAATATGTGATTTAACAAGAGTAAGGGAGGAGGCACTCGAGCATGGATACATCATTTCAGATGCAGGATGTTATATTTCACGTGCTAAGATATTAATTAAAAATTAGTATGTGTAAAATTTCTCTCTACTAAAATAAACAAAAAAAATATATATAACTTACTCAGAATAAGTATATAATGCTTGATGATTTTATTGGAGGCCTAAGTCTCTATTTATAAGAAACAAGGTGGTGGAATTATGATAGGATTCGCATGGCTTGTCTTCCAATCCATTCCATATATGACATTCTTTACAATTACAATCATTTCCTTTTTACAATTCTTTCCATGCAAGATTTTCCTTATACAGAACTTGCTTTCTTTGTTGATTCCTTGGCTTAGTAGGACTGGTCTGCCTTTAACTAAGATTGGGCAAAATGTGGGCTGATCTAGACGATTCAGCTAATGGGCTTGGAATTCACCCTTGGTGGGTTGTTGACGTCTGGGCTTAGAAGATGGGCCGGATGGCTTGGGTCTGCGATCTACATGGGAACCAAGACTTTGTCTGGGCTTGCTCTAGACTGGGTTCCCCCAATTTGGGGCTTGACACCGATGGGGCCTTTGCTATACCTAGAATAATTTTGTAGTGTGATGACGTGGACAATTCTTACTGGAGGGGGGATTTTTTCCCCCCACACTTTGCCCCAAATTCCCTCTTTAATTGGACTACCGCTCCTAATTAAAAGGGAATTGAAGTTACACGGTTGCCAACTCTTCAAAAGACGGTTCGAGGTGTGTCTTTTGCCATTCTGACAAAAAGGCCTCTTCATAGTTCGTTCCCTACTCTGCGACGTTTATTTCGCTCATTGCTTCAGCGTGATCTCAGGTTAGTTCTTCATTCATTTGTCTAATTTCTTTCTCATCATGAGCTCCTCATCCACTCACGACCATATCGACCTGGTAGATTCGGATTCCACACCTTCTTCTTCTCCCAATCTCATTAGGATCCATCCCCCTAGGGTTTCAGACCTCGTTGAATTCACGAACGATTCAGTTGTTCAAATGGATGTCTCCCCTTCACAAGCTGAAGTATCCACTTTGGGGTCAGATTGTGTGTTTACTAAGGAGGAGAGAGAGTTGATTTTGTCTATTCGGCGCATCAAGTTCTCTATTGAGTCTGTAATAGAGGATTATGAGATTCCTGATGGGTTGACATTGTCGAATACCCAGAAAGGGTTGATTTCAGTTCCGGTGAAGGCGTAGGAGATAATGAATTGCTTTTATCAGTCGGGCATCTTAACGCTCTTCGTTTCCCTCTTCACCTCTTCTACCATCTAGTCTTTAATAAGTTAGGGATTGCCCCTTTCCAAGTGAACCTTAACTTTTTTCGAGTGGTTTCGGCACTTCTAGTTCGCCGAAGGCTGGAGAGTCTTGACTTAACCCTTGCTGATTTACTTATTACCTACACCGTCGCCAGGTATAGAACTAAGCCTGGCCGTTTTTATCTCACTTATCCTCTTCAGCAGAGGATATGCAAGGACCTCCTTTCCTCCGAGAAGAAGTGGAAAGAGAGGATGATAGTTGTGAAGGGGAACTGGTTTGTGGATAAATTGAATACCCTTCCCATTCCTCGCAAATTTGGGAGGCTAGGTATAGAGTATCTTCCCTCATTTCATGAAAAATGCTCTGGTTGTTTTCCCTATCAAGTTTTATTATTTCGCCATACTTATGAATTTCTTGGTCTTCTTTCAGCAACCTTCCCCTCCTCCGTA